GTATCATGCCTTTTGATTCAAATAACACTAGTGCTTATGGGCAAGATGCTAAACAAAGCAAACACCATCTCAAACCTGTTGTCCTTGGATAGAGTATACAGTTCTATGTTATTACACTTATGTGTACTCTATGCAGGTTTCAAAGACTTTCAATGGACTATTTGTATTTGAGTGATAAAGTAACCGCATGTGTCTTAGATCTCAACGATATCTCCCCATGGGAATTCTTTAACTTAAAATTACAAGTACAGTGAACCCTCGCCACTTCGCGCTTCGACTTCCGCGGCTTCACTCTATCGCAGTTTTTGCGTAACAGCGCATGCTCTGTCATTACTGCCACTGATTGGCTCATACTGTACACGCTTCTGTCTGCATCACTACGTATCGGAGCTACGTATCAGATGCATTTTTGCTTTTGTACAGTGTACTGTAATTGTTTGCGATTTTTAAGAAATTTTATCTAAGCCCTATGATGGCTCCTAAACGAGCTGCTTCTTCTAAGCCTTCTGACAATAAAAATAAGCGCCAGAGGAAGATGCTCACCACCCAGGAAAAGGTAAAACTTTTGGATATGATCAAAGATGGCAAGAAAATCGTGGAGGTTGCACGCCATTTCGACTTGAATGAATCTTCCGTTCACTCCATCCGTAAAGAGGAAAAAAACATCCGGGCTACGGCTACTTTCACTTTCAACAAGGAAGCAAAGCGCATCGTGACAAGTCGTAATAAGTTCATAGTAAAAACGGAGTCTGTCCTAGCCGTTTGGATCAATGACAGGAGCAAGAAAAACATTCCGTTGGATTCGATAGTCATCCGGGAAGGCAAGGCAGCTCTATCAGCATTTTACAGCAGACAAACCTCAACCAGAATCCTCTTCTGCATACTGTAAACTAGATGCCATAAATAATATAATAAATAATGAATGATAATTGTAACGTCCAAAATGTTTTACTGTATTTTCCCTTTTTCGTTTAGTAAATTGGGTAATACGAGTGTAATGGTGACTAAAGGGTGTTTTTTCATGTCCACTATGCTCTAACTACGAAAATATTTGATTTACAAATAAGGAATCCTACTTCGCGGAATTTCATTTATCACGGTAGGGTCTAGAACCGATTAACCGCGATAAACGAGGGTTCACTGTATACGGTGTTCCGGTCATACTTTTTCAGGATTAAAATACATGTCACTTTTAAAATATAGGCATTGTCCTTGACTGCATTCAAATCCACCGTGACTTTACAGAACAGAGTAGAACTGCCCTTGTGGGGACTCGAGACCGTCAATCTTTAAGAGCAGAAAGTCTCACTCAGCTTTCTCCGCAGAGTGGCTACTGACCTGGGCTTCACAGCCCACTCAGAAGCCATTACACCACCAGGGTCGTGAGGGCTGTTGAGGGGTGGGAGTTGGGTAAGGGGATGGAGTGGGGAAGAAGGTTGAAAAATAACAAACTATTGGATTATATTTGAGCACATTACTGGAAAAGTATCCCCTGCCTTTTGGCTCTCCTATTCCTTTGTTTTACCAAATGTGTATCAGCATGAAATCTTAGGGGAAATGATTTGATGGTTGAAGCTTAGTGTGAGAAGAGAGGCGGAATGGAAAACATCATCAGTGTTTGCAATCACTGACTTATATGGTACGGCAAATACTTAACTTTTATTCTTTGTGTTACTGTAAAATTCCAGAGATCTAGTTAATTTTTCAAATTTCAGTCAAAATATTAAGTCAAATAGAGTGGTTGAGAACATAAATTCTGAAATCACACCTTTTTCCAAGTTAAATCACGTTTCCAAACAGTAGTTGGTGAACATGTACTAATTACGTAATTGCCTTTCTTTCTTCATTTCTAAAAGGGCATGGTAAAAATAATATGATTGACCTCAGATGGCCTTTGTGTCAAACTGAATAAATTAGCAAACACCTCATCTACATAAGCACCCTCATATACAAACGCACATTCCCAGAAGCCTGGTGGTGCGGTTGTTAAGCGTTGTAAGGTCAGCAGCTCTGCCCCTCCACTCTGGGAGAAAGATGAGGCTTTCTGCCTCGTCAGACTCACAGCCTCGAGGGCCCGACAAGGCCGGTTCTACCCTGTCTTCAGGGTCACCATGGCTAAGAATCGACGAGACGGCAGTGAGTGTGACTTTGGTATACATGTGTACACACCCCCACATACAATGTACATACGCACACATATATATCCCCTATCTCCCACCCAAGGAGCCCTCATTAGGAGTTGGGTTGTTAACTGCAAGGTCAGTAGTTTGAAACCACCAGTCTCTTTGTGGTTGGGAAGACGGGGCTTTCTACTCCCCTCGGCAGCTGGTCTCAGAGACTCACAGAGGCAGTTCTGCCCTGTGCCCTAGCGTCACTATGGGTGTCGGCTCAGTGGATGCGAGTGTGACTCTGAGTGTGAGGACACTACCCATCACTTTAAACAGTCAATGCATATCAACTATTTTTATCCGATAGCTACATATATTCTTATATACATGCCACTATTATATATGCATATAAATGTTCTATACACACATATATAAATGTTTCTTCCTAGAGAAAATATACTTTATAGGAAAATTTTCAAGGAATGGACACTTTTCAAAAGTGTCAGATAATATCACTTACATAAATTGACTTGGAATGAATTCTAATATTTCTAAATTATGAGTTCTTAAATGAAAAGCCCTCCTTAGCTCCCTCTTCCCTTCCCATAACATTTTCCTCTTGTGCATTTTGTATTAATGTTGCAGATCGGGCCTACCCATCCCAGCATTGGGAATGTGAATCCGCCGTGTTCTGCTTTGGTATTATCCAAACCGATTTAGCAATGAGTTCCATGACATTACAAGTAGGATTGTCCTCTTCTTCTATTTGCTGACAATCTGGAGTTTATAAATTGCCTTTGAAAAGTCACTGTCTACCATCCGAAGATATACGTACGATGTCTGTATTTGTCTCATACCGATTCAATTGTGTAAAATGGATACAGATACAGGAAAAATTGCATTAGGTAAAATTTGTAGTAACTTTAATATGGAAACATATGAGCTACATATAGCTTTTCCTCTCCCAAGGAATTAACCATTAAAAGAATGTTTGAAAACCCTAGAAATAAAAATAAATAGACACCTAGTTAGACTTACTATAGCAAGCATTTCTTAGAGCCGTTTTCCTGAATTCTAACTTCTAGGTAGAGATGAGTCCTTGTGTTGTGTGTCCTTGAGCCAGTTCCCACTCACAGTGACCCAAGCTACCAGGAGACACTGGCGGGCCCTGCGCCACTCTCCCATTTGTTGTTATGCGTGAGTTCATTGCAGCCACCGTGCCAATCTCTCATCGGCGTTCTTCCTGATTGTCCAACTTTGGTATGCATCTGAGGGTAACTGAAAGTAGCTGGGCTTGGGTCAGGCACACCTTCGTTCTCAAAGAGATGTTTGCTTTCCATCACTTTAAAGAGGTCTTTTGCATCAGAGTTATGCAATACAATACGACTTTTACTTTCTTGGCCGCCGAGTCTATGTATGTTGATTATATGACCAAGTAAAATAATATCCCTGTCAATTCCAAAAGTTTCTTGGTTTAACAGGACAAAACCCAAACCCAAACCAGAACTAAAACCACTGCCATTAAGTAGATACTGACTTAGAGCTACTGTGTTGGACAGTGTGGAGCTGTTCCTCGGGGTTTCTGAGACGCTCATCATTCTGAGAGCAGACGGTTTCTTCTTTCTCTCCTGGAGACTGGTGGGCATTAGCAGCCCAGTACCCATCCCACAGGATGACCAGCGCTCCTTCATTGGTCCAGTGATGAGGATTTTTTCTTTATGTTAATGTGTAATCCACACGGATGCTTGTAGTTTTTGATCTTCACTGATAAACGCTTCTTGTCCTCTTCACTTTCAGCACGCATGTCTGTGTCATCTATACTACAGATCATTAATAAATCTATCTCATCTTCATGCCATGGTTTCTTCAAATAATCTAGTTAGTGCATATGCTCAGCATAAAGATTGAATAACTATGGTGAAAACTCACAATCCTGATACACACCTTTTTGATTTATAGAATGAAGCATTTCCTCATTCTGTTAGAAAGACCGCCTCCTTGTTTATGTAGTGGTTCTGCATGAACACCGTGAAGTGTTCTGGAATTCCCATTCTTCTCAAGGCTGTCCATAGTTTATTGTGAACCACAATGTTGAATACCTTTGCATAGCCAATAAAGCACAGGTAAACATCTTTCTGATATTCTCTTCCTTCATCTAAGTAGCTGAAGTGTTGGCTTGGTAGCTGTCTTTCAAATTACGTGGAATAGGTGTATGCATGTTTCCAGTATTGCATCCCACTTGTTGAAACATCTCAGTTGTTCTTACTGCAATTTTTGGAGTTTGTTCTTGGCCAACATGTCTGATGCAGCTTGAACTTCTTCCTTAAATACCACTGGTTCTTGACCATATCCTGCTCCCTCAAATGGCTGCATGATGGCCATTTCTTTTTGATACAGTGACTCTATGCATTCCTTCCATCTTCTTTTGATGCTTCCTGCATCGTTCAGAATTTTGTCCATAGCATTCTTCAGTTTTGATTGCATCTGGGGGCTTGTTTTTTTTTTCTTTCTCTATAACTCTTTTAGTTTGACGAATGCTATGCCTGTTCTTACTTTCTGGTTTTTTAACTCCAGACTTTTGCACGTCTTATTAAACTCTCACTGCCATCGAGTCAATTCCAACTCATAGCGTTCCCATTGGACAGAGTAGAACTGCCTATGTGGGTTTGTGAGTCTAGAGGAGGAGAAAGCCTCGTCTTTCTCTTGAAGAGCAGAGTTCTTCTTTAAATATTTTACTGTATCTTCTTTTTTGTTTCATGGCAAAGACTGCTTTATTGGTGGCATTTAGTACAAGTCAATAAATATGGGTACTCAAAGAAGAGCTGTTATTTATTTACTGGTTCATAGAGCACTGGTTTAAACAGAACCAACTGCTGGAACAATAGACTGAAGTCAATCCTGCTTCTTGGGAAATGAAGCCATATATGGCTGATATATGGCGAATGCTATTCCACAGACTGTAACAACCATGGTGGCTCTATACAGGAGGGCATGAGCTGCTCCACCCTGTAGATGCATTGGAATCTTATGATTCTGTGGACATAGCTTCTGTTTCTCTGAAACTTTATTTTCAAACTGTCTGCATGAAGCAGTACATATGGTCCTTTGGGCAATTTGAAAAAGAGCTTGTCGATTCTGCAGCATCGTGGCTCTGTAACTAGGGACTAACTGCAACAACTAAAAGCCAGCAATGGAGCTACTGTATCTTCTTGAGCCAACTTTTGAAACCTTCTGTTCAGGTCGTATACATTGTCAATTCCTGCATTCACTCTACCTACTCGACATCAAGAGCAAGTGTCAGAGCCTCTTTTAGTATCTATTTCTTTTTTATCTTTTAAACTATCTTTTTGTTTCTTCATATATAGTGTCCTTGATGTCATTCCACACCTTGTTTGGTCTTCATTAGTGTTTAACTTGCCAAGTCTATTCTTGACATGATCTCTAAATTCAGGTGGATGTACTCAAGGTTGTACTGTGGCTCTTATGCACTTACTTTAATTTTCTTTTTCTTCAATTTTAATTTACATATGACTAATTCATGGTCAAAGGACCCCTGGGGGCATAGTGGTTACTCATTGGACTGCTGACCACCCACCACTCCTCTGGGTAAAAAAAACGGGACTTTCTACTCCCATTCAGTGTTACAGCCTCAGCAACCCACAGGAACAGTTCTACCCTGTCTTATAGGGTTGCTGTGAGTCATCATAGATTCAAAGGTAGTGAGTTTTTTGAGACTTCATGGTCTCCCCATAGTTGGACCCTTTCCTTGTTCTGATTGACAGCTTCGAGCTTTTCCATGTTCTCTTTCCACAGATACAGGCAAGTTGATTCTTATGCAGTCCATATTTCCTACAGTGTGGTCATGTGTAAAGTTAACATTTTTATTGTTGGAAAAAGGCATTCACTGAATAAGTCATTGGTCTTCCAAAATTCTATTATGTGACTGTGGTGCATATTATTGCCAAGGTTATATTTTTCAAGAACTGATTCTTTGTTTTACACTTTCCACTTGCCAGTAATTATCAATGCCTCTTGATTGTATGTTTGGTCCATTTCAGATTGCATACATTGTTAAAAATCTGCAATGTTTTCATCTTTGGCATTAGTAGCTGGTGGGTAGATTTGAACACTAATTGTCATGACAGGGCCTCCTTGTAGGCTTATGGTTATTAGATAACATTGTACTGCAGGATAGATCTTGAAATGTTCCTTTTGGCAAATATTATCTTCAATCACTTGTAATTTCTAGCATAATATACCTTATGTTTTTTCTGATTTGTATTAGCTAATAGTGATCTATTTCAGCTCACCAACCCCATGAGGTTATTCTTTATGTGTTCCATTTCATTTTTTTGATGACTTCTAGTTTTCCTAGATTCCTATTTTGGACATTCTATGTTCTGATTGTTAATGGGTGTTTCCTCACATGTAGGGTCATTGCACATGTCATTTAAATTTCCCACAAGCTTTACTCCACTCGTGCTAGTTAGGGCAGCTGCACTTTGAGGAGGCAGTCATCCCTCGGTTGCATTTTGGGCCCCCGCCCACCTGAGGGGTGGTCGTCTGACACTATATCAGCATTCTGCTGCTGACCCTAAGGTTTCTGGAGACCAACTTCCCCCCAGAGGTGCATTGCTGTTGTTGTTAGGTGTGATCAAACCTTGGTGACCCTGTGTACAGCAGAAGAAGACACTTCTTGGTCCTGTGCTACCCTGACCCTTGTTCCTTGAGCTCATTGTTGCAGTCATGCCAATCCATCTCCTTGAGGGATTTCCACTTGTCACTGACCCTTAACCTTACAAGCACGATGTCCTTTGTCAGGGAATGGTCTCTCCTGACAATTTGTCCAAAATGGGCGAGACAAAGTCTCCCCACGGTGCAATCTGATGACATTTCTTCCAAGACAGATTTGTTTGTTCTTTGGCACGCCATTGTACTTTGAATATTCTTCATCAGCATCATAATTCACATGCTTCAGTTCTTCCACAATCTTCTTTATTCATCGTCCAACTTTCACATGAGTGTGAGGCAATTAATAATACTGTTATCTGAGTCAGGCACACCTTAGTTCTCAAAGGAGTATACTTGCTCCGATTTGCTCAAGACAATAGGCCATTTGGCTTCTTGACTATTGCTTCCGTGAGCATTGGCTTTGGATCCAAGCAAGATGAAATCTTTGATAATGCCAGTCTTTTCTTTGTTTATCATAATGTTATCTGTTGGTCAGGTGATGACTTTTGTTGTCTTGGTTTGAGTTGTAATCCATTCTGAAGATTTCAATCCTTGGTCTTCACCATCAAGTGCTGCAAGTCATCTTTTCTTTCAACAAGCAAGGTTGTGTCATCTGCATGACACCAGTTGTTGATAGTCCTTCTTCCGGTCCTGATGCCCGTTTTCTTCAAGTCGCCCAGTCTGTCAGAGCAGCCGTTCGTAAAGACTGCAACCCTGATGCACAGTCCCTTTGTCATCAGACACAGCCTTTTGTTTCTAAGGCCCAGGGTTTGAGAGCCCTGCTTCTCATGTTCAATGTTCAAATGAATCTTCGATGTTCAAATGAATCCCTGGGGACCTGGCAGAGTGGGATTCATTAGGTCTGGGAGGTGCTGCTGTAGTTGCCCATCCCTGTAGCAGGGGAGGCACTTCCGGGTTTAGGAACTAGTAGGGACATATTTGGGTTCTCAGGAGAACCCCGACTTTCTACAGCTTCCTGTTCATTGGCTGTGTGGGTGAAGAGGGATTGGTGGTGTGGGGAGGCATAGGTGACCACATGCTCAGGCAGAGTGTCTTCTGTAGCCACATTCTAGTAGCCACATGCTATCCTACCAGGAATAGCAATGGTGGAACTGGTGATCTGGGCCTCATAGAATTCAGACGGGGACGAGCGAGAGGGATAAAGGCACATGTGTGAGAACAGAGCGAACAGGAGCCTCTCTCATGCCTCTGACTTAGGAATTCGGAAAATAATTGCTTGACATGCCATTTCTTCCTACTGCTGGGGGACTAGGAATACGCAAAACCCAGGTGCTGCTTGTGGGACCACGGCAGCATCACCGCCATCTTACTGCCATCGAGTCAATGCTGCCTCACAGTGACCTGTAGGACTGGGTAGAAGTGTCCCTGTGGGTTTCCTAGACTGTGAGTCTTTAGGAGGGTAGAGAGCCATCTTTCTCCCTCAAATTGGTGAGTGATTTCAAACTGTTGACCTGGAGGATGGAAGTTCAATGCATAACCATGATGCCAACAGGGCTCCTGGGACCCTCAGAGGGTAGAGAATATTCGAGATTTTGTTTGTATGTGTTTTAATTTGCTCTGCCCTCCCAGACATACCTTTCTTATTCACTAGCTTAAGGCTATGATCCGTGCTTTACAGGATGAACAGGTGCAGGGATGAAAGGACACAAATACAGACTGTCGAGAGCCATGGCCATGGAGCTGACAGTCTAGACAATAGCAGATAAAATAAATGTTGAGTAGATTTTTAAAACATTGTTTCAGCACTTCCACACGATGTCTTCTGGCCTTGCCAAGACCCTCCGCTAACACCAGCTGCAACTCCTGGCCACTCTTCTCTGGAATGCTGCTATTTTCCCCGGACGAGAATCATGGAGCTTCTCCACACCACACCTTTCTTCCCCCTTTCCCTCCCTGTTCACGCTGGGGCTTCCCAGTGGGCAGGGTGGGGGGCTGCCCATCATGCGGGGTGGGGGAGAGGGTGCGTGTGTTTCTGTGGGAAGCTGAACAGCAGGTGGAAGGGCAGCTTCACTTCCTTTATGCTCGGCTCATCACCTGTGAGGAGACACACTGGTTTTTATTTTTCTGTTGTTCCCTGGCAACAAGTCAGTGGGGTAGTGAAATACCACGGGCAGGCCCCCCGTTTGTAATGCAAATGATGCTTTTGAGTCTGGGGTGTGTCCATCTTTTTATATGGATTGTTAACCGATCACATGTTGCTCCTTTTGAAACAAACCTGGGCCTCCTGGTGAGGCACACACCAACGGATTTCCGCTGTCCTTTCTTGGGGACTTTTGTGGAAGTTGAACCTGTCAATGGCTTTCGCTTGGGTCAGCCTGCACGGTCATCTCAGGCTCTGGTGTTCCTAAGAAGCAGAAAGTCTTTTCATTTCTGGTGGTTGCGCGAAGCCAAGTGACGATCACGGGAGGGCTGTCAGGGTGCCGCGTGTGCCACCTGGCCGCTAGGCGTTGGAATCGACTTGAGGGCATGGGTTGTTTTCGTTTTTTCAGTTCTAACATAAAATCAATATTGGGGCTGCTACAGTTTTGGTCTGTGGACAATGCTCACTGATGAGAGAGGAATATTTGATTGTGCCTTCTCTTCTCTTTTATATTCTTTTCATTCTCACATATTGTGACCGTGTGGTATTTCTGTCAGATACTATGCTAGATACCAGTCTTGCCAAGAATGACAGGTCTTTACCTTCAAGGAAGGGACGCTGGCGGCATAGTGGGTCACAGGCTGGACGCTGATGCAGTCGTTGGACTCCACCAGCTGCTCTGGGGACAAAGAGGAGGCTTTCTGCTCCCATGAAGATGAGTCTCAGCAACCCAGAGAGCAACCCTGCACTGTCCCGTAGGGTCGCTGTGAGGCAGCATGGCTTTGACCGCAGTGTGTTTGAGGAGCCCCATCTTCAAGGAAGACTTCCTGGGAGTGCAAAGGGTTAAAATGTGTGACTGCAACTGAAAGGCCGGCTGTTCAAACCCACTCAGAGGCTTCTCAGCAGAAAGCGTGACGATCTACTTCCACAACACCAAATCCGACGCCAAGCCCTTGACAATCCTAACACAGATGCACTAGGATGGGACTTACTAGCTGCCGCTGACTTTGAAGGACCTTGCAGTCCCTGATAAAGTACTGTGGTGACATGCAAGGTCCCGGACCTAGGGGTGGAGGGTTGGAGGTGGGCAGACGGGTTTCCAGGGAGGACGACTCTTAAAAGACAACGTAAGAGTAGAGGAGACAGCGAAAGCTAGGGGTTAAGAAAAAGTCTCTGGTGCAGACGGTTCTGCAGTGTCTGACTTTATCCGGGTTCCATACACATTGTGTGGCCCAGGCCTTAGAACAATCGGCGTCATCTCTCTAGACTTTGGGTTTCTCGTGCTCTGGAGGCAGGCAAGAAATCTACCTAG